TGCCACCACTGCCCAGGCCCAGGATATTTTTTTAGGCTACAGTGATTTGATTATTTCCCTGATTTCTTCCTCAGTATTGCTTACCTCTTAACAATTTAAGTAATATGGAATATGGAATATGCTTCCAATATGTGCTGTATCTGGTACTGCTCACAGTCTTCTTTGAACAACAAAAGGGCAGTTACCTCCTCTGTACTATGACATGGTTAGTGGCCTACTGAGAATATACACAGGCTCATTCTTATTCTGATGTTGAGATCACTTGGTAGTCCAGCCCAACACCACTTAGCTGGTCTCTCCTCTGTCTCATTACAGCCTTTCCTTCTCTATTGTCCATCTCCCCAAATGAGATTAACCAGCCAACCTCCTACTTTATCTTCCAACCACAAGCCTTGTAAGAGGCCTTCAGGAGAGGGTCAGTGTGAGCAATTGAAACCATGACAGCTGAAAACAAACAGTGTTTAAAAATCACTCTTTCTAGGCTGGGCATGTACTTCAGATGTAGAGTACTTGCTCAGTTTACTCAATACCGTGGTTTTAGTCCCCTTCATAAAAAAACAAACACTCTGCAGAGTTATTTCAGAAGAGACAGATTTCTATAAGGAATATGACAATTCTGGTGAAACCATATGATGTCTTTTTATATAATGTGGTTAAATGTTAATATTTTGTGTGTTTTAGACTTTTTCTAGACCTGATAAAACAGGTTTTTAATTATTGACTACTCATTTCTCAGCTTTTAAAATTAAGTTATCCAGTTATTTACAGGAAACAAATACTTATAATAATACCTTGCATTTAACTGAACAGTACAGATCATATTATTGTCATTTTCAAATATCATTTCCAAATCTAATGGGTTGGAGGTCAGTGAACTCTAGTTACAAATGGAAAAGCCTAAAGGAATTTGATTCATCAACTAGAGAGGAAGTCGGGAGTCCAGTTTTATACTTTAATACATTCATGCATAAGACTGCTGCCCTGTTATGGATTTGTCAGTGGTGGTCAGGATTCATATGCCTACAAAACTGGATTTTTGCTTTGCTGGCACTCCTTCCATGGTAATTCCTAATTTTTTATGACTCCTGTTCACTTGATATCACCTCTACTTCTCAAACCTTACTAGATTGTTCCCTTGTCAATCATTTAATCAGTACTTAAGTACAATGAAAATAAATCACTAAGAAAATCTGTGCCTGTAGTTACTGTCATAGAATCAAATTGTCATAAAGGTTCCCACATGGTTAAGGACAGTGGCAAATGACTTGGAGTTTATTTGTTGGTGTGGTTTTTTGTTGTTGTTGTTGTTGTTGTTGGTTGGTTTGGTTTTGATTGTTTACAAAGCCACCAAGCTGATACTGGTGCATCTAAATGATTATAAAACACGGTTTCAGCCACTTTGTGAGAGTCTGAACTATGGGTACTTCTGTTGCAGAGATTTTCAGTAAACAATTTTGTTGTTAGCTTTGATGGTTTCTTGTTCCCTTAAACTGGCTTATCCCATAAATACATTAAAACTGAGCTGTTCTTAGCAAGGAGCTTGTGGGCTCCTTATATCTTTAGTTTTTCTTTTACAAATGTGATAGTTACTAGGCAATGTGATCAAATGAATGAAAACTTCTTGGGAAAGAAATTCTGAGGGCCTTCATTTTGGTGGGATCCAGAGGGTACCCTGACACTGAACTCTAGAAACTTGTGTTGTTCTTCAGTGTATTCATTAGCAGACATTTTGGTATGATATCTTTATACCTTGCATTTAACTTAACAGATAACACTTTGGGGGGCGGGTGTGATTCAGGCTAGTATCAAAGATCTGAATATTCCTTACCTGGACTTTTTTAATATAAATTAAGTAATTTTAATGTCACAGCCTCAATTTTCTCAGAGGTAGCTACTCAGCACTAAAAGACTTCTAAAAGGCAGTAGGTTTTAGAAGAAATAGCAGGCATTGTGGCAGCTAGGAGAGACAAAATAAACCATAGGATGGCTGTGTACCACAGGGGGAGAGAGATGGGAAGACAGGGGAATAAGACGATGGTGGTGGTTTTGATGATGGTTCATAGTGGTTGCTGTGGCTTCTGTGATTCATTTAATTCCATTGGCTGTAATCTTGAGTGTGTATGTTGACCTGTAGTTTTAGAGTCAGGACGCCTGGGCAGAACCTGGAGAAGACATGACTATACACTGCTCAGACTGGGGTTCAGCCTAACAGAAATAAGCAATCACAAGAGCTAGTTGATAGCAAGAAGAAATGGTGTAGAAGAGGGCCATATGTAGTTCTAGAAAAATCCTTGATCTGAAAACATTCTGTGTATTGTCCTGACTATAGTGTATCACAGAATATGGTGGTCAGTGAGTACTGTGAAGACAGTCAGTGAACTGAAGCATCAGAATTTTGGCATTCAAGTCTTGGACTCCATGAGGGCTTCTTGGAACCTTCACAAGTTGTCTTACACTTCACTTCCGGTTTCTTATTCGTTTAACATTCCCCCTAGTCTGTATTCTATCATGGTGGCGTGGAGCAGGGGTGGTGCTGTAAATGAAATGATGTGTATAAAATCACAACTTATTTCCTTACATTCCCACAGCACCAACAATTCCTTCTGTTCCCCACATTCCACAAACAAGGCTCTGAGGAACATCAACAGCTACTAGTGACCATTGTCTTGTCGCTCTTGCAGAATCTTCCTGAAGTTACCAGCTACCCATGGCATTGTTTTAAGCAGGGACTTTGTGGGAACATTTCATCATTGTTTCTATATGATAAGGGAAGGTCAAGCATCCTGACAGTTTCCATGGGAATGGCCACCCACACGTGCTGACTATGTAGACTGGTGTGAGGAATGGTATACATCTGTCCAAGCCTAAAAAGAAATTCGGAGAGATGCTGACTCTCTGCTCACTCACACTAGCTGAGGTGGTTCAGAACGTGACTGGTCCAGAGGGAAGTTATATCCAAAGGCTGAGGAGAGACTTTTCCATGCAAAACCAGTGCAGGTTCCTTTATCCTCACCCTCTCCGTAGAGTAGCATCTTGTGTACTCATGATGCACTTGTAGAAACAAGGGAATCAAGATTGTTATAGTACTGTTATTAGATCTAGAGTCTTTCTGCACAGTTTGCTACTTTCCCCACTAATGTGTCTTTTCTGGTCTAATATCCCTAGTACCTCACAATTATGTCTTAACCACCTGCCTTCTAACTATTGTACTTTGAAGAGTTTTATCCAGTATTTTATAGACTGCCCCTCAACTTTGGTTTTCCTGATCCTTTCTCATGATTGGGTTGAAGAAAAAAAATGTTTATTTTTATTTTCTGTGAATTGGTGTGTTTTTTGTTTTTTTGGGTTTGTTTTTGTTTTTGTTTTTGTTTTTTTGTTTTTTGCCTATGTGTATATGTCTGTGTGAGGGTGTCGGGTCCCCTGGAACTGGAGTTATAGGCTGTTGTGAGCCATGTGGGTGCTAGGAATTTGAACCCAGGTCCTCTGAAAGAACAGTCAATCCTCCCAACTGCTGAGCCATCTCTCTAGCCCTTCCCCCATGTTTATAAGACCATCATATGCCATCAAGAGTACAAGATGACAATATGCCTTCCTCCATTGGTGTTAGGTTTGATCAGTCTCTAAAGGTAATGTCTATTAGATTGTTCCAGTGTAAAGTTATGATTTTTGTCTCTGTTCCTAATAAGTGTGTTGTCATTTTTAAGTTTGTTTTGGTATTGAACCCAAGGCCACATGCTACAGTTTCCTACAGCTGAACCACTTTCCCAATGCCCCACATCACCATTTTGTTTTTCTAGAAGGTTTTGTGCTTTCTTAATTTGTTGGTCAGAGTTGGAGCAAATGTCATACACAGAGGGCTACAAAGATCCCTGATCCTGGTGGGTCTAAGGAATGATGCCTTAAAAAAAAAAATCACATAGTCGTTATTTAACTGTTTGAATAGATTTCTCTCAGCCCATGCTAAAACGGATTGCCTGACATTACATTGCAGGATTCTTAAGTCCTACCTCCAGGCAAATCTCATAGTTACTAGCAAAAATGAAAGTGTGAAATGCTTTTTAATGTATATTTAACAACACATAGTCTGATGATGGCTGATGTGGAGTCTCTACGGACTCCCTTTGCTATCAGAAGAGGATGCTGAGAGACAACTTTTTCCATGTTTACTCTATCAAAAGCCATCACATGCTTACTTTTCAGGTATCTCTCTCTGTCCTTTCAACAAAATCCTAAAATGCCATATACTTTAAATGGATGTCAAACGTTAAATGGCTGGGTTATAGCCGGTTTTCAAGAAGAAAGAAAGTTACCTTTCACGAGTGATGTTTCCTTTACTCTGCCTTGTGAAATTGCCTACTCTACCAGCATGAGAATACAGCCAATTAAGAAAGACAATATGCAGTGTAGTGATGGACTTTTGAGAGGGAAATGCTAGTTTACTGTTCTCTCTTTTTTTTTTTTCAATTATTTCAAAAGTCACATAAATCCCATTTAAAGGAATTTCCATCACTGAATCTAGTGTCATGCCTGCTTGACTTGAAGAAGTACATTTCATGAACTGTACTTAATTCTTTCCTATGGTGTCATTATTTAACAAAGGTTAGGGTATAAATTTTTGCATTGATACTAGGTTGCACAGCAAGAGTTCACATCTTATACTAATATATGTTAAATAGTTTCATAGTATATAGATCATTGTTGCTAAAATGGCAGTACTGAAGGCATTTTAGATCACAAAGCCCCAGTGGTCCACATTTTGTTTGCCTTGACATTATTAAACCCAATCTGTTTCTATAACTGTGACTGTAATTGCCACATTTGCATGGCAGAAAAGTTTGCTTTGTGTGTTAACTTTTATTAACACTGCTGGCATGCCATTTTCTGCTCTTGCTCTCTGTGTTTCATAAGCTTGCAGAGCACCTTCAGTTGCAATGAATAATTATGCACAATCAATAAGGTTTTTTTATTTGTCTTTGTTGTTTCTTTGATGTGGCCTGTAGGACGCTGCTGGCAAAGTACTGGACCGCTGGGCCATCATGTCTCGAGAAGAGGAAATCATCACCCTCCAGCAGTTTCTGCGGTTTGGAGAAACCAAATCCATTGTGGAGCTGATGGCAATTCAGGAGAAAGAAGGGCAAGCTGTGGCTGTACCGTCTTCCAAGACAGACTCGGATATAAGGACTTTCATCGAGAGCAATAACCGCACCAGGAGTCCTAGTCTCCTTGCTCACTTAGAGAACAGCAATCCTTCCAGCATTCATCATTTTGAAAACATACCAAACAGCCTTGCATTTCTGCTTCCATTCCAGTACATAAACCCTGTCTCAGCCCCACTGTTAGGGCTGCCTCCCAATGGGCTGCTTTTAGAGCAGCCTGGACTGAGGCTTCGAGAACCAAGCATTTCAACCCAGAATGAGTACAATGAGAGCAGTGAATCTGAAGTATCGCCCACACCTTATAAGAGTGATCAAACACCCAATAGAAATGCCCTGACTAGCATCACTAATGTGGAACCCAAAACCGAGCCAGCATGTGTCTCCCCCATTCAGAATTCTGCCCCAGTCAGTGATCTGAGCAAAACTGAACACCCAAAAAGCTCATTCCGGATTCACCGTATGAGAAGGATGGGGTCAGCCTCAAGGAAAGGAAGAGTGTTCTGTAATGCATGTGGGAAGACATTCTATGACAAAGGTACTCTCAAAATTCATTATAATGCTGTTCACCTGAAGATTAAACATCGATGTACCATTGAAGGTTGCAACATGGTCTTCAGCTCCCTTCGAAGCCGGAATCGCCACAGTGCAAACCCCAACCCTCGCCTTCACATGCCTATGCTAAGGAATAACCGAGACAAAGATTTAATTCGGGCTACATCAGGAGCTGCCACTCCAGTCATAGCAAGTACCAAATCCAATCTCACCCTCACGAGTCCTGGCCGGCCCCCAATGGGTTTCACCACTCCTCCACTAGACCCTGTCTTACAGAACCCTCTCCCTAGCCAGCTGGTATTTTCTGGGCTAAAGACTGTACAACCAGTTCCTCCTTTTTATAGAAGTTTACTTACTCCAGGGGAAATGGTGAGTCCTCCAACCTCCCTCCCAACCAGTCCCATCATTCCAACCAGTGGTACCATAGAGCAGCACCCTCCTCCACCCTCTGAGCCAATAGTGCCAGCCGTGATGATGGGCACTCATGAGCCCAGTGCTGACCTGGCACCTAAGAAAAAGCCTAGGAAGTCAAGCATGCCTGTAAAAATTGAGAAGGAAATCATTGACACAGCTGACGAGTTTGATGACGAAGATGATGACCCTAATGATGGTGGAACTGTGGTCAATGACATGAGCCATGACAATCATTGTCATTCCCAAGAGGAGATGAGCCCAGGCATGTCTGTGAAGGACTTTTCTAAGCATAATAGGACCCGGTGCATTTCAAGAACTGAAATAAGAAGGGCTGACAGTATGACGTCCGAGGACCAGGAGCCTGAGCGGGACTATGAGAATGAGTCTGAGTCTTCAGAGCCCAAACTTGGTGAGGAATCCATGGAAGGGGATGAGCACATTCACAGTGAGGTGAGCGACAAAGTTCTGATGAACAGTGAGAGGCCTGATGAGAACCATAGTGAGCCAACTCACCAGGACGTCATCAAGGTAAAGGAAGAATTCACAGATCCCACTTACGACATGTTTTACATGAGCCAGTATGGACTATACAATGGCGGGGGGGCCAGCATGGCTGCCTTGCATGAAAGTTTTACATCGTCTCTGAATTATGGAAGCCCTCAAAAATTCTCCCCTGAAGGCGACCTGTGTTCTAGTCCAGACCCCAAAATCTGTTATGTGTGCAAGAAGAGCTTCAAAAGCTCCTACAGTGTGAAGCTTCACTACAGGAACGTTCACTTAAAAGAGATGCATGTCTGCACAGTGGCTGGCTGCAACGCCGCCTTCCCCTCTCGACGAAGCAGAGACAGGTCAGTAAATCTCCATTGGCTGCTCCTGCTGAGGGTGGGGCTACAGTCAGTCATGGTGGACTTTAAGGTGAAATGTTTTTGATGCACTATAAGGATTGCCCATATTGACCACATGATCACTAAGCTGCCATGCTCATGAAGGATTTATACAGTCAGTGCTTGTTACGATTAAGCATGCAGAATCATGTCATCTTTCCTAGTAATGCACGCCATTTTTCTCTGTGTATGTGTATATGTATGTGTATGTGTATGTTTCCATGCATCTAGGTGTGAATAAGTTAACAGAACACAGTTCCTTGCCTCCCCATGAACCTTTCCTTAGAAGCCACAGCTTCTGTCATATATATATATATAATTTCTGCTTTGCCTTGTGGCTTCTTAATTAAACCAATATATTATCTTCATACACACATATTTATCCAATATAGAAACAGAAATTTACGGATGGAAAGAACCATAGGTCCAGGACATCGAGACAGCCTGCATCTCCGTAGGTATAACCAGAAATGTTATCATTCCTTACATGAGTATTTAGTGTGTCCTTGAATTCTTTAAGCATCATGAAACTGTCATAAGACAATGAGGCCAAATTAATTGTTGGTATGGGGAAAGAGTATGGTTATGTGGGTTTCTTTATTTCAGCTTTATAGTATCTTTGGTCACATCTCTAAAATGTAGTCTGCTGTGGGACATCACCACAGAAGTAGGGACATGCCTAAGCACATGCTTTAGGATCAGTTAGAATTACATTACATTCAGCCCTCAGATCACAACACTCTGTAGTTATGGAGCTACAGTTCTGAAACCATAGACTTAAGCAGAAGCAGCTGGTCCTAAACCTACCATGTTCTTTATTAATTCCCTTAAGGATATGAATGGTGTGTCAGGGTGGTCATTCAATGGAGGGACAACAAGGATCCCTCACTTATGGGGAATGAACCTTTGAGCAAGTCTTTGATATAGTACCCCAGCCCAACTTAGGTCTTCCATCAGCCAGTCCTTCCTACTTCATGGGATGTGCATTAGGGTTCTATACTAACATTTAATATTTTCAGAAAAAGTTTTATTTCATAGTTTAAAATGTATGTGGAAAAAAACAGAATTAATGAAGTTTCCAAAGATCTACCACCTTATTCTAGTGTTTATTGGATAGAGGTCTTTGACAAAGCAGAGGGCAGTGAAAGCCACTGGGTCCGCTGTGGCAGTACAGCCTGCAGTCATGACGCTTGGGGGTGGGGGTCGCGGGGATAGCCGGGCTGACCCCAGTCTGAGCTGTGTACGAAAACCCTGCCTCGGTTAAAAAAAGGAAGGAAGGAAGGAAGGAAGGAAGGAAGGAAGGAAGGAAGGAAGGAAGGAAGGAAGGAAGGAAGAAAAAAGTATCACTGCAAATCAGTGACCTTTCTAAGCAACATTTTCATAGATGAAAGATCGATCCTTTTTTTAAATGAATATCCACATTTTCTTTCTTTTTGCTGACACAGAAGGAGCCAAGTTCTGTTCTTTTATGAATTCCTACCTTCACTATCTTGCTCTATTAAAAAAGGTTTCTTGTGTTACTATTATTTTCAGTTCTAGATTCTTATTGACAGTCCCAGGAAATGCCAGATAAGATACCTCCGCTTTGAATAATAAATACAGTACCATCCCCTCATTCCAAGTTTGGAATAATATTTTTTCAGATTTCAAACAATATATTAGTGATGATGAGGTTAATGCAATGAAAAAAAATTTCATTGAATTTTTTTAACAAATATAAAAGACTTGTGAAAACTTGCATAAAATATTTATGAAAATGGAGCGTTTGAAGACAAGCCAACATTTAAGCTTATTTGCATGAATTCTTTTACATTTTAGTTTGCTGAAAACATCACAGTTCATAACACTGGACCTAAATAGCAAAGGATAAGGATCCAAGCCTGGCACTTGCACTAATGGACAATCACTACTGAACTCAGTACTGAACACAGTACTGAACAGAACACACGAAAGGAGTGCTGTTGAGACAGAGTTTGTTTGTCTTGGGGAGATATTTGCTGACAGAAAAAGACTATTTTAGTTGCCATTTTTATTGTAAGGACTTGGGAGATTAGCCAGTGCCAGGCACACAGAAGTTAGACCAGTGGTCTTCCAAGTACAGGCTGAGTACAGATGAGCTGTGTCAAAGGACAGTCAATACATTGTGTGAGGCTGAAATAGTAGACTGTATCTAATCCTTTCCATTTCAGAGTTTTAGCATGTGATAAATGACAAAATACAAATTGAAAAAGATATCATAAAGTGAGAAATTTTTATTCTTGAAATTTGGCTTTCTAAAAACCACACAGATCTTTTGATATCAGGCTAAATCCTTTAAAAAAATGTTTGGCATTTAGTTTTTTGTCAAAAGAAAGTATTCACCCTGTTGAGATGATGACTTAACACAGTGATGGGTGACTAACTGCCACCAAAGTAACAAGACACAGTGATGCCATTGAGTTGCCAGCCTCTTCCTGAATCTCAGCAGAGTGGACTTTGGACTGCAATTCAATTCCTCTTTCAGACTTTAATCAGTTCATCAATAAATGCCAGCCAGTGGTTGTGTCTCGATCTTGTGCACAGAGAGAGGCGCTTAGGTCTCATCTGTGGTCTGTTCCTTAGACTCACCTTTGTGGGTCTGCTCTTCTCCTGAGACACACACTCCAGCAAGCCTGTGCTCCTGTTTCCTCCTTTAATCAAATGATGGATTAAAACAGTCATGAGCTTTCTTACCATTCTCTTTAGCCAGCAGACCTTCCCAAGAAACTCTGCTGTGTCACCAGACCTCCTGTCTCCATACCACCTCTTTCTGTTCTGAAGAGGCCTGGCTTCATCCATCCTTGAACTCCATCCACAGTGTCTTCCTTGTCCAATAAAGCACCAGAGGGGAAGTTCCACTGGGAAAGGATCCCCATGGCAGCTGAGGTGTCCAGGGCTCCTAGACACAGGCATCACTCAGGGTTTCCTCCTTTCTTCTATTCACCAATGCAGCTGCCTTGTCCTCCAGACCCCCATACCTTACAGAGTTGGAAGCAGCTTCTTTGATGAGTGCACATGAAGGGGGGGTGCATTTGGGGTCTTCTGATGAGCATGTTAGTGCACTAGAGATAGAAAAACGTTAAGTACTCTGTTTTAGGTTTGACAGTGAGAGAAAGATACACATGCAAGGGATGACAACAGACAGAAGCATTATCAAAGGTGTCCTTCTGTGTATAGTTGTCAATAATGGTGTATTTGATCAATTAAAAAGTCAGGAGGACCATTCCACATTAATGACAAAGAGTAAGCTAATATGCACAACCCATTCCCCTCAGCACCAACTAGCTGTAAGAATGACCTTTATTCTGAATGATTGAAGTGAAATGTAAATCGTTTCTTCTGTAAAGAGCACTGATGCTCAAAGATGATTGTCACATTCTTTCCTTATTTAGCCCTTGATTTTCCTGCTACTGAGCTGTTCTTTTGTCAGGGAACAGGAGGCTGGCTTGTAGAACTATGCATATGAGATACTCCCTGGGAAGAAGTTCTGAGCAAGTGGCCTGGTTCAGCAGTGTTCACAAAAGCATGATCTTCACACTCAGCAGAGCTTAGTTTATCTGTGCTACTTCTCATCCTCTGACTTAATATTTGATCCTTAGGATGGTTCACTGGCCACTCACCTATGTAGAAGAGAAACCTATGCATTTTTTTTATTTGAAGGGGGGAGGAAGCAAACAATAGTGAAATCCATCCACATCTGTCCATTTTCCTAACTTTCCTCATCATTTCCTAGTGTGTTGTTTTATTTCTATTTGCTTTGGTGATTGGAAATGTAAAACTGAAGACCTTCAGAAAAGTCTATACAGATGGTCTGTGTAGAAAGAAGTTACCATCCTTGTGAGCTTTGCCTTCTTATTTGTTACTATCTCACAGAGGGTGCTGAAGTTTGTCATAGGTTTTATCAGAAAGGTAAGAGCCTCTTCCTGATCTTTAAGGTGTGTGGAGGAGGTTGTTTCAGCCAGATGAATAAATTTTAAAACAAAATAATATCTGCCTAGGGTGATTTATAAATAAATATGAGGCAACCATTGATGCCAAGTGTGAACCTTCTCTTTGATTGCCACTTAAATCAGTCCAGATTTAAACATGTAAACTTCTTGATTTGTATGGAGTAAGACATCTGTATTTGGTTTATTAAAACCTGCTGATGTCTCCAGAACTAAATTTGTTCTTGTATAGGCCTCTGGGTAGCCATAGCTAAACAGCAGAGATATATAGTTTTTGCTCATCTTATTACCTGACTTCCAGCCCTATACAGGTGTGCAGGAATAAATTAACAGGAGCTGCTCTGATAAGCCACTGCATACATTAACAACAGAGGTGAAGATGTGAAAACATGCTACCTGCCTCCTGTTATCACCTTATCAGCAAGGCAGCATCCATTTTTTCCATCATTCTCTATGTTTGGAAACTTATAGAGAACTTTCATAGAGAGAGCTTTTCAATAAATACCAAGCGATACTTCCAAGAAACGAGCCACTTAGCACCAATTGAAGGGAACTATTAGTATATGTGCCCCTAATGTAATTAGCTGTCAAATAGTGTGCTAATCCTCGGAGGAGAGCCTCTTAATAGATGACTGCTTCATTTCCAACACTGGGCCCAATCAAATTTCGATTCTCTGTTTCCAAAATTCTTCATAAAGTAAAGTTGGGTCGGTCCTGTGGCTTTTAAACATTGAGAGATGTTTCCCCACCGCTCTGTTCCTCTGTTTGGTTTCACAATAGAGCAGCAGATCAATAGGCCTTTTGTACTTATCTCCATTACTTTCCATCAAAAGCAAACAAACAAAGTAAATCCCCCTCCTGAGTAATTGCTGGCTGTGCCCTCCTCAAGCAGAACTTTGGTAGTGAGATAAACTTCGGTGTCCTTCTTGTCCCCGGGGTTCTTTTTATACACCGAGAGAAGAGCAATGAGCAAAATGGTCTCCTTGTATCATGGGGCGA